GCAGCTTCCATGGCTGCAGTGGATGCTGTGTGGTCTTTAGATACAGAATACACAGCTCTGGGGCAGGTCTGCACAACATACAGGAATTTGGAGAACAAGATCTCAAGTCTAACCTAAAGGAGTGTTAAGAACAATATGAAAATTTGGTTTTGTGGTATTAAACTTAAGAGTGAGATGAGACAGACAGAAATAATGAAGGATCAGGGTGCCCCACCAAGCCTGAGGAGGCTGATTTAGGTTTCACTTTCAGGCACTATAAAGGTATGTCAACCAAGGTAATTCTAGGTAATCCACTACAAACAGCCAGCCAAAGCCACTCATCATCTGTCATCTGCTTTTGATCTGAGATGTCTTAACACACCTGTCTGCAGCTGTGTAGAATAGCAGGAAATTTAACTTCCAGGATGAAAAGGGCATATTCTGACATGTATCCTTTCTGTCCTGAAATGAGGAAGCTTTAAGCAGTTGTTGTTGGAGTATTTGTAATTGTCTTTCACATGAGATCTCTCTTTTCCTATGGTCATGTTTATTTTTCAGAACAATGAAGAAACAGAAGTCACCAAGTGGTGCAACTTCTGTGACAAATAGACTTGTTTGTCACGGGCCTCTGAAAAGGGATGAGTTCCCTTTTGTGATAATTCAGTCATTGTCTTTTGCTGACCTGAACTTCTCTCTTTTGTGATACTTCTGATCTTTGCTTGTGAAGTATGCACTATAGGGAACTGGGATGTAGTCTAATAATTTGGTTTGGGGTTGCATTTGAAGGAGAAGAAAATATCTCCTGCATCAAAATAAATTTTCCAGAAATCGCTCCAGTGCTCTGGATTTTTGTATCAATGCACAGGACTTGGCACCTCTGCCTGTAGGTATTGCCTGGCTCTTGGGAAGAAAACAGTATAGCAGTAGAGATCTTCAGAATCTCTTTTCCCTTTACTATAGTGGAGACTTTTACTCCCATGATTTTGTTTGGTCAAACAATTCTTTTATTTGGATTTTATGTGTACAGGACAGTTTATAAAAAAAGCAGTTTGTTGTCCACAGTCTTTGCAGAACATTAACTTAATTGCACATGGAAGGCATTTCTTATGGGTCTTTCCTCTTCTTTCCATACTGTTTGGAATAGAAAGGTTGTCAGGGCAAAGTGTTAAAGGAGTTGTTTGTATGGATGGATTGTGGCAATGCAGCAAACTCCCATTTTTGACATGCTTTCAGCTTAGTTTTCTTACTGCTGGCTCATCATTGATGAGCCAACTGATTAATGTGTTGTTTAATTTAGTTTTGTCTTTTTGTTCTTAAAAGTCTTTGCAACAATGTACAAAATGTCAGTAACAATAGCTGATTTTGCAAACCATGGCAAGAATTTGTTCCAAGAGTTTTTTCCACGGTAACACTGAGATCTTTCTATGTAGTTTATATTCTTCAACACATACAGTGGGCAGATTAATTTTACATTTTTTACTCTGTAATATCCTTTAGATAATAAGTTACTTCTGTCTGATAAGGAAAATTTACTTTGATGGCCACAGTATCAGACCAAAGACAAACCGTGCCTTTTGCTGTTGTATTTAGCTTACTCATCAGGGATTTGAAATGCTGAGGCTAACATATTGCAGTTTCTGACCACGGTGCTACTTTGCTTCAGATGTTATGAATTAAAAACTGGCATCTTTCTGAATTGGTTTGCTCACTGCAACCAGTGAGTAAACTATGCTCCTCGTTGGTCAGTATTTCCCAGTTTTGTTGCAGTGGGGCAAGAGGGACTCCTTAATCTGGGAGATGGTAGATGCATTCAAGGCAATGGTTTGCTGTGAGAATCCCATCTGTCTCCAAACTCAGAAAACTTGGAAAAACTGGGGGTCAAACAGAGGTGAGGAAACTGGCTTTGGATGTACTCAAATATCCTGCTCATTGGTCCATCACTGACATCAGTTAAATGCAGCCACCCCCTGCCCCCAACTCTGTGGATGAATGGTCATTGCAGTCTTAGTGATGTTTTGGGGTAGTTGTGCAGTGTGGAGACCTGCAGCTGGAAGAAATTTGGCAAATAAATCCAGTTTTCCCAAGGACTTGATTTTTTATTTCTTTCTGCTTTTAGGTGTCAGTCAACCTCTCTGCCGCCTCTTTCGTCCCCACGAAGAAGCCCTGTCTACCCCCTCAGTGACAGTGAGGACTCTTCCCACTCTGCTCAGCTCACCAAAGTCTCCAACTCCAGACTGTGCCTCAAGGACTGGAACAGCCGCACATCTACTCTTCGAAGCACTTCCACCAGCCCATCAGACACTGACTCCACGAGCCACCCTCTCAAAGCCATCAGTGTGGGTGCTCTGGATAAAAGGCAGTCTGTGTTCAAGGCTGACCAAAAGGAGAGTCCAAATGATGCTCAAGACGGGGAAGCAATAGGGAGCCATTCGCTCGCCCGGAGTACTCTGTCCTTGGGCACTGCCACCAACTTGAGGAACCTCTCTATCAGCAGGGCAAGTGTCCGCTCCCAGGCGCTGGACATCAGGCAGAAGATCACAGAATGGGAATGCCGTCGGGAGCTGACCCCCAGGATGAGTGTGTGTGCAAACAAGAGGGATGCAGGGGAGAGGTCGGGCAGTGAGAGCTGCCCCAGCGTGCTGACCTCTCCCTGCAGCGACAAGACATTTGACTTCAAAGGGCTCAGAAGAATGAGCCGAACATTTTCCGAGTGCTCTTACCCAGAAACGGAGGAGGAGGAACTGCTGGACAGGGATTCCTGCCATCGATTTGAAAAGAGACAAGGCAGGAGCGAGCTTTCCACTGCTTTCCTCAAGGGTCATGTGAGGAAAGAGTCCTCTGCCGTGCTCAACAGAATACAGAAGATCGAGCAGGCTCTGAAGGAGCAGCCTGGCAGAGGCCTCCCCCAGTTACCAAGTAGCTGCTACAGTGTTGACAAAGGGAGGAGAAAGACTACTGTGGAGGGACTGAAAGAAACCCTAAGTGATAGCAAAGCAGGGAGTGTTATTTCGGGGAGTGAATCAGAAACACCTGCTGAGACTGAGAAAAGCAGTAAAACAAAACAGGGAGTTACTACAAACTCATCTGGCCCTAAACTGCTCCTTGAAAGCCCAGCTAACAGCGCAGTGAATCCTGTCCCCAAGCCCAAACGCACCTTTGAATATGAAGCAGACAAAAACCACAAAAGTAAACCAAGCAATGGCCTACCTCCATCTCCTACACCTGCTGCTCCTCCTCCCCTCCCTTCCACCCCTGCACCCCCCGTGACCAGAAGGCAGAAGAAAGAGTCTCGCTTTCACAGAAAGTCCCAGAATAGGTAACATTCAAGGAAATGTCCTGTGCCCAGTTCTCCAAATAAATAAGTAGATATGCTGTAATTTTGCTGTAACAATATTTTACATTCTCCCCCTAATGCAATGATTTTGATGTGAGACATGTTAGAAGTTGTGTGGAAAACAAGTGGGGTTTTTCTGCTGGACTGCACTGTTTGAATGCACTGATATAATAATTTTACATAGCTACAATTTTGTCGCTCTACAACCTGCATTCCTCCATCCCTGAAAAAGGTTCTAGGTCATGTGTGCTAAAGGTTATCTAGTTCATTTTGGCATAAATGCCCTTAACTGTGATTTTTAATAGACCATAATTTCATTCTCGTCTTGTAGGAGGGCCATAGCTGATTTGTCATAGTCTTGTCTTCCTGTTCACTGCAAAACAAACCTGCAGAGTGTTTGTGCTTCCAAAGCTTATTACTACCACAGTTGAGTCAGTTTTATGCAATGTTGTTGATTTTATTTAATTCAGTGCTGAGAAATGTTTTGCTAAGTTACTATCATCAGCTGTAGACGATTAATGCTGAGAAAACTGTTTCAGCACAGAAAGACCTTTATGTCCTTCCTGAGTTCATGATGGGCAGAATGTATGCCTACATTTTCCCAGCAATCTGTGAAGCTTGGATTGTTTTACTCACATGATTCCTCTTGAGTTTTAGACATGGTAAAACTCGCTCTGCTCACTGCTTAGAAAATTGTAGGTATAGTTGCTACTAGGCATTTGAAGTATGGCGTTTTTAACAAGCTCACCTATCTGTGCATGTGTATAATACATACACCCCCGAGTATTTAGTGATGAGATTTGCAAATAACTGCTAAACAGCATCTCAGATGCACACTGTCAGTTCAGTATCTGGTGCCTGATGTTGGCTCAGTTGATTAAAAGTGTATGTCAGCACAACCTGACCTGAAGTATGCTGGGGAAGGAAAAGGAGAGGAGGAGCCTTCAGATTCTGCCCTTTTTGTTCAAGAGACTCCTGCTTCTGAAATGGATCAAACAGCTCTGCTGAGGCCTGTGGCTCCTCTGAGAAAGGTGGGGGGTTGTGGAAAGTCAAGCTATGATTAGGAGTGCTTATCTTTGAGTTCTAGCAATAATCTCAGATAGAGGAAGTAGATCTAGTTTTTAACAAGAATTTGTGAAGCATAGCTGACCTCATCTTGTTCAGCACAGCATTTGCAATTTGCAGAAGACAGTAATTTTAAAATATTCTGGTATGAATGGTAGCCTTTTTTTTGAAAATTAAAGAGCAAGTCATCTAAGAACCACAGTATTTTGGAGATGAAGTTTTGAAGCTTCTTTCAAGATGTACAACTCTGCTTGTACCTGCTATTGTGCAGGTTCAGTCTCCTGTTATAATAGAGTTAGACAACAGCATAGTTCAGGAAAGGAGCTTCAGTCCTGGGTAGGGCTGGGAATACGAGCCCAAGAGAAGAACATTATTTATCAATTTAAGCGGTGATTAGTAGAGTATAAGTTGTAGGAGTTACAGTGTTATCATGTGTACATGATGATTCTTGCAAATTAGTTCGACATCTTACAGGGTAGGTATCTATTTGTTTGTAACAGGGTTACTCTGCTGCCAGTTTAGTGATTTCCCTAAACTCACCTCTTGATTAATCATGATCTGAGTAAGTTTAATCACCCTCAAAAAAATCACAGCTTTGCTGGCTGACTTCAATGCTGGGTGGACATCCTTTTTAAAATCTTAACTTTATTGCCTTTGGTACTGTTCTTCCTTTAGTTACAGTAAGGAGAACTCCAGGGTATACAATGAACTTAAGACCATACAAGTCATCTAACAATGATAGTATTTGGCTAATAGTAGTTATTGAAATCTCAATATCTAAAATGTTCTCTTATTGAGAACAGACATAATTCATTGTGTCTGCAGCTGGTAGCTGTGTGTTTTCGACTGACCATACATATGGTTTACACTCACTGGAATGTCATGAGAATGGACTTGTGGGTATTTATTCTTCTAATATATTGGTGGGAAGCACTGATTTTCTTTGTGGTGGCTATTTCAGAATTCTAGAAAAATTCTGGAAGTCCCTCATGTTTGCCTGCTAGTGTAGAGCCAGTCTGTATTCAGAGGATCTGGTGCCCACAATAGCTTTAACATTTCAGGCTGATGTGAGCTGGGTGTTCCCTAGCAGTTGGAGATCCTCCGGCACACACACAGTGTGGAGAGGAGTGTCATGAGATAGGCTCGGGACACATGGACCACAGCTGAGTGCTGGTCCACAAAACCATTGCCATGGTCTTACACAGCATCATCACATCATAGCATAGCCTTGAAATCTGTAGGAGTCGGATAATTAAGTACTTTAGAAAGTCTCATTTCATACACAGGTATGGCTTCAGTGCCTAAGCATCCTTTATAACTGTGAGCAGGTGTGGAAGAGCAGGTGTCTGGATCTGAAATGCACAGATTGTTTCTGCCACAATCCTGATGTGCATAACTTGGACCTGGATATTCTGAAGATTAGGGAAAGGAGAGAGAAGAGGCTCCTAAGCCTGATCCAGACTTGTAAGTCTGCTCCAGCAGATAAATAGGAAATGCTTTTGTCAAATGCAGTGTCTGTACAATAGTCACTGTACAATAGTGATACCTGTAGGGATACTTGAACCAATTCACAGACTGGAGTATGTTTCATGAGACTCTGCCACTGCCACATGGATATGTTGTAACTTATGTTTCATGCCAGCTGAGAAGAAGAACAGAGGTTGAAGGCAGGATGATTTACTGTTAATCTGGGTCCCAGTGAGTAAAGTGTGGGCAACAGCACAGTCTCCTGGGATTTATGCTCTGACCTGAGCCCATTTTTCTTGCCATTTCATTCTCAGCAGTAAATCAATCCAACAAATGCCAGCCCCTGCACTGCAAATCATGCACCTCCCAGCTCCAGTGTAAATATTGCCTCAGAGAACAAGTGCTGGGTAAACTGGAGAGTGGAGAGAGCTTGGGCTCTTCTTCCTCTAGAACTGCTCAGCAGCACTGGGGCAAGTATAGATGCAAGGTGGTGAATCACCCCTCCTTTCAGTACCCAAATGGGAGACATTGTATGGGTTCATCTGACCCCGCTGCCCCTCACCTTCCTGCCAGAAACACTAAACCTGCAGGCTCCCAGCCATCAGTCTGGGTTGCTCATCCACCCCAGAGCACCTTAATTTTCTTGATGCTTTGTCCTTTGCTGCCAGTGGTTGACACAGGGGATGCAGAGGAAATGGGTGGCTCTTACACAAGTCTGCCTTTGGCATTTGTACACTGACCTTCATGGAGGAACATATCTGAAGGTTTAAGACACGTGAGTGGTGTCAAAGCAAGGGTTACATCTCCCAGAGGAACCGTGGAAGGAACTCCTTCCAGAGTTATGTCTTTCTTGTGGAGAGAGAGCCACATGTTTCTGGGCCCTATGGAAAGAGCAAAGTATTTTCTAGTCTGAGGGCTATGCAGCAAACTTACTTTGTGACCTTTGAAAAATAACACACTTTCTTGGTATTTTCTCCCTGTCCACATAATGGGGATAACAATACTTCCAACCTCGTAAAAGTGTCACAGGTGGCTGTACTAGAGACTGCTGTGGGCACAGGACTTGAGGTCCTCTAAAAGTTAGTCCTTTAAAGCATGATGTGTGATTTTTCTTTTGTAGTTAATTTTATATAATTTCTTAGCAAACAAATGCCCAACTAAATGTTTGAATAATTTTGCATTCAAATTACTAATGACTTATTTTTTAAACTTAGAAAATCCTTTGAGTTTGAGGATGCTTCAAGTCTGCAATCCCTGTACCCTCCCTCCCCGACTGAAAATGGAACTGAGAGCCAGCATAAATTTGGATCCAAGAGCACTTTAGAAGAAAATGCCTATGAAGACATTGTAGGTAAGAAGCTGTAGCAGCACATGGGCTCACAGCAGGGCTGTGGGCAGGGCATGTATTGTTGAACACATGCCCTGTGCAGGAACATTCAGTGCTGTCAGTAAAGAGAGATTAAATCAAGGGTAAATGGGTTTGATCCTTCAGGGCAAATATAACTCTCAGTCTGCATGTAGGAAGTCTTGATTCTTTTGTATTTCATTGGGTAGTATTTGAAACAGACTGTTTGGTCAGCTTTTTGCCAGTGCTTTTCAAGAACCAAATTGTTCTTTTTATCAAGGCCTTGGCTTAAAGCCTTGAGTGGTGTAAAAATATAAAGAACTGAATTTGAGATAGTGTTTACAGAACTATCCAATAGCAAGGTTAACCTCAGAGGCTTTGTGTGGTCAGCCTGTACTTTTTGGGTGTCTGGTGTGGACTGCCCCAGAGCAGTTTGCAGCACTGTTCCTGGTCTCCCCTAAGTCCCAATTGTGGTTAAAGAAGAATTAATTCCCTTTAGCTACACAACCACCAGGAATGCACAACAAAAACACTGTTTTGATTAAGCCTCGCAAGAAAAACATGTTTCTTTGGTCTTAGAAGAAAATGTATGGCCTATGCATACATTCTTTAAACATAAAAAAAAAGTTGTTATAATTACTGAAAATTGGGCAGCCCTTCAGAGCACAGATTTTCCACACAAGTGATGAATATCTGCATTGTTTTTAACTCTTTCAGTCTTATATTATTATAACAGATACAAAGGGGGCAGAATTTATTTTGGGCAATGAATCTATACATACTGAAAACTGGAGGGCTACCAAGGTAGTGAGGGACCCTAGAGCACATGTCCCTTGAAGAGACACTGGGCTTGTTTGGTCTGGTAAAAAGGTACTCTAATAGTGTTTACACATGTTTGAAGGGCAAACAAAGATGGTAGAACAAAACTCTTCTTGGTCGTATCTGTTGATACAGCAAAGAACAGTGGCCACAAGTTGCAGCCTGGGGCTCTTTGTTATACCCAAATTGTCTCTGGCTTGTCAGCCTCAGTGAGAACAGGAATTTACTCTTTCCATTTTTGGCTGTACTTTCCCTCTATGCTGTTCAAAAAATGCTTTCAGAACAGAAGAAAATGCTCCTGCTCAGTGCCTAAGTAAAAATGAGGAGTGGGGTTTTGTTCTGTGGAGAACTTCCTTATGTGATCATCAGCCTTTTCCATGACAGTCATGACCATGCAATTCACACTTGAAAATGTACTATGCTTTAGTTACAGTACTCATCTTTGCTCAGGACTTGTCAACATGACTCCAGATGTTAGGTGGTAATGCTTCTTTCCCTTGCTCTGGTTTGTTAAATATAAAAACAAAATGTGTAGGACTGGTAAGAAGCTTTCTTCAAATGAGAAGAAAAGTTATGTTCAGTAGAACAAAATCATAATGGGCTCTCCCAGATCATGGGAACTATAAACCAGCTCCCTGCAGACTATAATTTGGGCATTTTGGCAGGCAATGGGAAGAGAATGCAAAATTTCAGATCTATGGACAAACACAGAACTTCATTGTTTTGTACTGCTTTTTAACAATCTCTTTCCAAGCACTTCATTCAATACAGGCAGTGTGGGAGGAATACCAAAACAGTATAATTCTTATAAACTGTCAAGCATGATTAAAGACAAGCCAAAATAGTTTGATCTCCACCTTTAAAGAAACTATTGTAGTTTTGTGTATCACAACTGCATAATTCATACCAGTAGTGCTAGACCCCAGTCCCTAAATAGCACTTTTGTATTTATGCAAACCAGGTGTCTGTAAGAGTGAGTTTATTTTATAGATCTATTTCTGCTTCAAAGCTATAAAGGACTCTGTCACTGTGCTTTGGGTTTTCTTTGCAAACAGTAGCCCTAGAAGTCTCTTTTTCTATAACCTGATGAATCTCCTGCCTCTCTAAAAGGTTGTAGGTAGTTAAAACATTGTTGCTGTAGCTATAAGCTTAATAAAATGTGTCATCTCCCCCCGCCCTTTAGAATTACACTTGTACTGCAAGTGTTAAAATCCAGTAGAAGAAAGCTGTGAATCTTGAGCAATGCTCTAAGCACTCTCCTGTGAGACAGAATCATAAAACCAGGTTGGAAGGGACTCTGGAGTCATCTGGTCCGGCCACTGTTCAAAGCAGGGGTAGTTTCAACATTAGATCAGATTGCTCAGGGCTACATCTGGTTGAGTTTTCAAAATACCATAGGAGGATGGCTTCACTGGCTCTCTTTGCAGCCTGCTTCTGGGAAGCAGCCTCCACTGTGAAGAATTTTTTCTTGATGTCACTGTGAATAAATTTTTCTTTCTGTCCAGTCCTAATTCTCCTTCTTGCTATTTGTGACTGTTGTACCTTATCCTTTCACCTGTTAGGTGGCACCTTTTCCATTTACCCTTCAAGGCAGTGGAAGACAGCAGCTGGATTATCCCCCAGGCTCTTCTAGGCTAAACAGTCCAAGTTCTCTCTGTTTTTTCTTGTTTATGTCATGCACTTCAGCTCCCAGCCATCTTAGTAGCCTTGTTCTAGCCTATCTCCAGTCTGTTGATGTCTCTCTGGTACTGTGAATTCTCCAAGTATGGCCTTGTAAATGCCAAATAGAGGGAAATTCCCAGTTCCTGTGACTTGCTGGCCAATACAGACCAAGGTGTGGTTTGCCTTCCTTGTCCTGGTGTGCACTATTACAAGGTTATTCTACCCATATGTTGGACTCTATTTGTCTTTCCTAAACTTCCTGAAGTTCCTGTTGAGCCACTTCTTCAGTTCACTGTGGTCTCCCAGCACAGAAGCCCAGCTCTCCTGTCACTGTGTCCCCTAGCCTGGTGCCCCTCAGCAGGCCATCTCTCCCTCATGGGAAAGCACAGGAGAACTGTGGATAAGCTGTGAATTACCTATCAGAGGATATCTTCTGAAAAGCATATTTCATGTTTGCTACATACAAGTTACAATGTGTGGAGTACTGAGTGCTCTAACTCACACTAGTGCAGTTTCTAAGCACGTAGTTGCTAGGACTGGAGTAATTGTTTTTGCTTACTATATGGCCTCCTCATGTGATGCATGTGAACACTAAACCTTTATCTTTCTCCTGGTGCCCTTGCACTGTTTCCTTCTTTAATGATCAGGGCAGCAATGAACTGCTATGGAGAGTTTATCTTATTTTGAGAACTGACTTTAAAAAAAAACAAACCAAAAAAGATGTTTAAAGGTGTATTGAAACCGAAAATGATTATGCTTTGAAATCTAGTGACATTATGAACCAGACACTTTGTTTTATTTTGTACTATTTTTGTAGTCTTTAATAGATGAAATGCCTGCATGTTGAGTTCATGACAGGTATTGGACTGGAACATAATGATCTATTCTGCATTAATCATGCGGCAGTTGCTTCAAGTGGTGCACATTCCTAATACCAATCAGAGCTGTATTCCATGTGCAAGGAGCCATGTGAACTTCATTCATCTTCTGTACTAGCACTCACAGGAATGTGGCAGTCATAGTAAACTTAACATTGTTTTGCTTCTTGTGGTTTTGAATGAGCCTTTAATCAGACCACAATTGATGTGGCTTTATGAATCCAGTTGGGGAAACCATGCTTGGCTTTGTATGAATTCAAGAAACTATCATAGTATTAAGAGATGTCTGAGATGGTTACTTCTGCTGTGTTTGTGGACAACCGTATTTCCTGTCAGATGTGCCATACGGTTTCAGTTTTCCAGTCTGTTCCCCTAAATGCAGTTGATATGTTTGAATGTTGTTACTTAAGGTCTTGTGTCTCTGAGGCGTTTTTTTGCTGACCTCTAGAAAGCACTTGTTATCATCACTAAAATTGAGTAAAGTGAAATCAAGGTTGAGGGCACAATATTCAGTTTAACTTGAGAAAGTCTAGTAAAACTAGGTAAATCATAGTTTGTGTTTGTAAGAGAAATTTCACTCAATTTAGAAATTAAAAATAGTGAAAAAGTGTTTGACACAAGGCAATCCTTCTTATCCTCCAGCTCCTCAGAGTGCTGGACACAGTAGAATAGGTGGAGACTTCCTCCAAAAGGACACTACAGAGATCTGTAGGAGCCTGATTACTCAACTGGGCTCTGCATGTTGCATCATAGATTTAGAATGTTTAATTTAATGTTACACAACTCCATTTGCCCTGTCCAAGCAAGAGCTGCCTGGCCCTCATTTAACAGTTTGCTATTTTTTTCCCCAAGAAGAAAGTGATTAAAATGCTTTTCATCCCTGAAGATTTGGGCCTAACAGGGTTTCTTGCCTGTCTGCTGTTTTTGAAGTCATAGGTGGACTATTCAGAACATAGCCCAGGTGTGTGAGTATCTGACTATTTGTCTTCTAATGGATGTAGCCTCTTACTGGTGCAATACGCACAGTTTGTGTAACACTGGGTTTATTTAGACACATATATGACTGCAGAGAGGCCTTGCCCCAGTAAGGTTCCCATTCTGAGTGGCTCATGTGCAAGACTGGTGCCTGCTCACTATATTGCAATGGTCCAAAGAACCCTTAGTACTCTGTTAACTAACATGAAAGACAACACCTTAACCTCTTTTAGAGTCCCTGAAGCTCTTCTGAGTGCTCGTCATGTGGGGTTGAAGTGGTCTGGCTTGGCCACATGCATTAGTGTGTGCCTGGCAGTCTGGCATGACATAAGCCCTTCCTCTGCATTCCTTGCTAGGCCTTTTCCTACTGCACAGGTCTGCTGGAATCGCTTCAGGGCTGAAATAGATAGTTTATTCCTCTCTACCAAATTCCTGTAAGGAACTGTGTCTGTTGCAGCTCTGGGGAATTTTTGGTGTTTCACAGGCAGCAGAGTCCTTAGAACACAAAGTCTGGAACACCAGCACTTGCCAATTACGTTTAGACAGACCTGGTCTATTGCCAAAAGTTTGCTAAAGGCATGATAGATGTTGATGCTGAGGCTTGCTAGAGCTGCTTGGTGGCAGGTCCCAGTGATGTGTAGATCACTAGGTCATATGACTTTCCTTTAACCT